TTTTCCCAGAAGTAGGTACAGCTCAGAAATCACCTGCTAAGTATATGATAAATCTGTATTTCGGTGCTTTAAATGCTCCATAGGCAGAGTGCCGAGATTGGGAAAACTCTCTGTAAGTCACTTAGCTTACAAATATGTCACATAAGAGGAAGAGACTAAAATGAAGAGAAGGAGATTAAATTTCTTTGATTATAATGGCGTGGAGACCTCGGTTACACATTGAATCTTTACCATATACATCTTTATTTATTTTAATTCTAGCTAAACAAAGACAAGATTATGTAAGACGTTTTATTTTCTATTATTTAAAGTAACATAGAGATAGCATTTGCATAAGATATAGAATGCATCACATAAGTTCACATTGTGTAGACCTGTATCACAATTATAAATGATGAATTATACATATGGTGTGGCACTGCAATGTAATGTCTTTTCGGTTACAAGTTTGTGATTTTGGCAGCGTCACCCGTACTTATGAAGTTAAGGAATTCAGTTAAAGCTGTTGCCTAAATCAGATGAATCATTTTTCAGTAATGAAAATAGAATAATGTGTGGTCATAGATACTTAGAAATAGTTAAACCTGATAGTAAGTAACACTGAACAAAATGTACAGAATAAACTGATAAAATGGCTTCAAATGTTAAATTAGATAAGTAAATGCTTCAAGTGGCTTTATAAATGCAAAATGTGAATGCAAGAGTTTTAAACGAAGAACATGATATATATTTCTAAATACATAAAAAACACAGGAAAAGAAATGCAGCATAATATATTTTACACACACATAACGATCAGCTACAACATGGAAACTACTGATAGATTAAGTGAACAACATTGATTAGATTTTTACATGGGGATGTTATATTATGCAGCAAGTGAACAGACAGTTCTTGAATTTCATGTGTTGAAGTAGGAAAATTGTCATGTGAAAAGATCTGAATGACTATGTGACTTTGACAAGGGCCAGCTAGTGATGGTTAGACAACTGGGTCCGAGTATCTCCAAAATGGCAAGTCCTGTAGGGTGTTCCCAGTATGCAGTGGTTAGTACCGATCAAAAGTTGTGCAACCAGTGTTAGGGTCATGGGTGCCCAAGGCGCATTGATACACGTGTGGAGCAAAGGCTAGCCCATCTGTTCCGATCACACAGAAAAGCTACTGTAGCTCAAATTGCTTAACACTGACCATAGAAACATAAAAACATAGAATGTGACGGCAGATAAGAACCATTCGGCCCATATAGTCTGCCCAATTTTCTATATACTTTCATTAGTCCCTGGCCTTATCTTATAGTTAGGATAGCCTTATGCCTATCCCACGCATGCTTAAACTCCTTCACAGTGTTAACCTCTACCACTTCAGCTGGAAGGCTATTCCATGCATCCACTACTCTCTCAGTAAAAGGTAGAAAGGTGTCAAAACACACAGTGCATTGCTGTTTTCTGCATAATGGGGCTGCGTAGTCGCAGGCCGATGAGAGGGCGTGAGCATCAGAACTGGACCCTGGAGCAATCGAAGGACGTTGCTAGGTCTGTTGATTCACATCTTCTTTCAGATCAGGTGGATGGCTGGGTGTGTGTGCATCGTTTAAGAAAAGATGGCAGCAGGATGCGTTATGGGAAGAAGGAAGGCCGGCAGAGACAATGTTCTGGGCAATGTTCTCCTGGGAAACCTAGTTTACTGACATTCATGTGGCTGTTACTTTGACATGTAACACCTACCTAGAGATTGTTGCAGACCACGTACAATTCTTGATGGCAATGGTGTTACCTGATGGCAGTGGCCTCTTTCAGCAGGATAAGGCACCCTGTCACACTGCAACAATTGTTCAGGAATGGCTGGAGGAAGGTGCCAGAGAAATCAATGTATTGCCGTGGCCTCTGAATTCCACAGACCTCGATCCGATTGGGCATCTGTGGGATTTGCTGGAACAACCTGTTGGCAGGTCTCTTCCCTTCTGATTCAAAATGGTAGGACATGGCAAGGACCGATCTCCCTAGACATGCGCATATATCAGAATATTAAAGGGAGAGGGAGCAGTCCAATATAGGGGGTGTGTGTGAGACCTGCCTCTCCCTTATATAACAGCATGCCTCCTGGACCTGTTTACTCAGTAATAATGTGCTCATGGTGGTGTATACTTCTATTCCTGCTGTTTATCTGATCTCTGGAGTTTGACCCTTGCCTTTCTGACCCGCTTAAGAACCTGTGCCGCCCGACCTGACCTTTTGCTATCCGGCCTCGTTTTTGCCTGACCTTGGAGTTTTCCACCAGCTTCCTCGTGTATTGTGGGTTCCTTCTGCTAAACCTTACAACATCAGAGCTGTTTTGGCAGCACAAGGGGAACCAACACAATATTAGGAAGATAGTTTTAATGTGGTGGCTGACGAGTCTGTGTATATATATATATATTTATATATATATACCATGTATAGCAGCTTGGCACTCTCCTTACAAAATCAGAGATATGTATCTTGCCTCGGTGCTACCCGCATTCAAAATCTAAATAAATATAGTGAGGGGTGCACTCACAGGTCTTGTATTAAGTGGTACGTGGTTTAATGGTATGAAAATAATTCAATACATCTGTGCAAAAAAATCAACATTTCGACCCCTCAGGTTTTTTTTCAAGATCATAGTACTTTACTTTATTTATATATATATATATACACACACACACACATTTTAGAAAATAATAAGTCACATCATATCTACATGATATAATGAGTGATCTTGTGTCAGGTGCAGTTTATCAGCTTAGATAATTTAGAACACTTATTGCAGAGTGCTTGGTTAGCGTTCAGGTAATCGTTTAAGGACTGGCTCCATTAGTCTATCTCAACAGGTTAGGAATTCAAAGCCTACAATGTGGTGATTACACATTCTCTCAGTAGAACCTTCCCTTAAGAAGGTGTCTACTTGGCTTGAATAGCACAGAGTGCATCTCTCTCTACCTCGTTAAGTATGTCACCTCATCAGATGTATGAACAAGCATACATTAATTAGGAATCACAAAAAATACAAAATATATTTGAGGACAGCACACTCTCCAGAAATAAAAAAAAAACATTAAAAGTTTGGATTTGAAAGATAACATCATTAAAGTAATATATTATAAAAAGAAAAGCACGTTGCTACTTTTCAAGTACATCCAGGGGTCTAGATATTTATTTTGAATTTCCTACACTTAACACTTTAATTAATAACACTGTTAGGGTAAAAGTTATAGATGAATGTAACACATTCAGAACAGAAGATAAACAGAAGATAAATTGTTAAGCAACTAAAAATATTAAAACAGAAACGGACATTGTACACACCATAATCCCTACAGTTTATTATAGAGGTTGTGGTGCAATGAGATCGCTGAATATGTTTGTCTAGCATTTTTTTTAAGAGTTTTGAAATATAAATGTATGGCTTCCCTAATGACCTAGGCTCATCCTCTCCGCCTTCAATATACTAGTGAAGAATTTTACATCCTCGTTATCTGTACAAACATTTAGATGGTGTGATCATGCTATGATTGGTTGTGAATGATGGGATTAGCACGAGTCAGTCATTACAAAATCACTGCAGCCCTTTTACTATTGAATCCAGCACTCAAAGCTTATCAGTCTATGCTCCCGTACATACACTTGTATGGCTAATGAGGAAGGGAAATTCCTCATTGTGAAGTTGAAGGCAGAGGGGGTGGGCTTAGGGGGCAGGAGAGTCTACCATATTTTTCAAACTGTTTGAAAACAATTTCACAAAAAACTGTGGGTGGGTGGAGTAACAAACACAATAATCTGTAGTGTTTAGGGTATGCAGAGTGCTGCGTAAACTTATCATGCTTATGGTTGTCTAAACTGGTTTTAAATATGGAGAAAAAAAGAATAAATTCTTACATTGCAACATTTTATACACAAAACACATAACACCTATAACTTCAGACGAAGTCAATTTTGCTATACGACACCTCAAACTGGGGAAGAGCCCAGGGCCAGACGGCTTCACGGCCAAATACTACAGAACATTCGCCCACTCCCTTATTGAACCCTTCAAACGGGCATTTAACTCCCTTGCTCAACCTGTCGCCTTCCCCAAAGCATCTTTGGAGGCACACATAGCCCTCATACCCAAGCCGGGCAAAGACCCGACCAATTGCGGTAGCTACCGCCCAATATCTCTGATAAATCTTGGACTGCAAGCCATCTATTCCAATCCCACAGCCAGACTAAGGGTAAATGGACAACTCTCGGAACCAGTACTCATTAGAAACGGCACGAGACAGGGCTGTCCCCTCTCCCCCCTCCTCTTTATCCTCATACTAGAACCCTTCTTAAACGGAATCCGGGACAACCCGGCTATCAAGGGCATTCAAATACAAGGGGCGGAATACAAAATCTCAGCTTTCGCTGATGATCTACTCTTCACCATACAAACTCCTGACACTTCCTTGCCCCCACTCCTAGAGGAAATAGCCCGATACCATAAACTCTCCAACTTTCAGGTAAATTTCTCCAAAAGCGAAATCCTACCAATTCGAATAGCGCCCCGCTCACACACAAGTCTGCAAGCCACATTTCCCTTCACATGGGAGGACAAAGCCATTACATACCTGGGAGTTCGTCTGCCGGCGGATCTCTCTTCCATCTTCACACTAAACTACGACCCACTATACCAAACTATCTCAAAAGACCTGCAAAACTGGCAAAAACCACAGTTCTCATGGCTATGTAGAATCAATATTCTTAAAATGAACTCCCTCCCCAAGATACTATACCTTTTCCAAACCCTACCGATAGCAATACCAAAGCCCTTTTTCACAAAACTTAGGCAACTTTTCACCGCTTTTATATGGGCACAGAAACAACCTAGAGGTTCTCACCAGACACAAGTCATGTGGAGGCTTGGGCCTTCCACACATGGAAAGGTACTACAGGGCAACCATTCTTTCCAGGATTCACGACTGGTCCACGCACCCTCCAGCACGCCAATGGGTAACCCTTGAGAGTGCAGTGAGCCTAGTACCTCTTTACACACTCCCCTGGCAAAGAGCAATTCCCTCAAAATTGCTTTCCTGTTGCTCCGCACACCCCACCATCCTCCCCACGCTTAAGACTTGGGCGAACATACGGGAGGCTGAGAGTCTTTCCCCTCACCCATCTCCACTCTATCCCATCACCTACAACCCACTATTCCCCCCTGGTATGCAACCCGGGATATACCAACGGTATACTAAAATGCTGGACGCTCCCTATCTGACGTTGGGTTCAGTGGTTGAGAACAACTCCATACGAACACTGAGTGATCTGGTGGGCCCTGCAACCCCACATACACTACAAGCATTTCACTATGCCCAGCTGACGCACTTCTTAAGAGCCAACACGAGCTTGCTCGGGGGTTCCCGCACCCTCTCCGATTTTGAGACACACTGTCTAACCAATACCCCCAAAACCAAACAGCTTTTGACCTTTTATAAACTTCTGATGGCCGAACATAAAACCAAATTGCCACCCTTCACAGAATCCTGGCTAACAGACCTCAATGTACAAGTCACGTTGCCTCAGTGGCGGACTGCCCTTTCACATATCCACACGACGTCCACATGCACTCAAATTCAAGAAAATGGATATAAGAGAATATCCAGGTGGCACTACTCCCCGGCCAAAATCCATAACATCTTCCCTAACACACCCGATGTGTGCTGGAAATGCTCCCAACCAAAAGCGTCACTAGCCCACATCTGGTGGCATTGCCCACTCACACAACGATACTGGACCAACATTGTGAAGATGATCCATACTGTAACAGGTACACAACTGCCTCTTACCCCCCACACTCTGCTGTTCCTGATCTTACCTACCCCAATTCCCAAGTCACAAAGAACCCTCCTGCTACATCTTCTTACTGCAGCCAACCTGCTCATACCGGTTAAGTGGAAACACTCTGAGGTCCCCACGATCAGGGAATGGGTAACAAGAGTAGAGTCAATCAGAACTATGGAAGAGATCCACGCATCCATCTCCCACAAATATACACTTTTTAGGGACACATGGACGCCATGGGCGAGATTCGTGGCCGGCAATACACCCTGAATACCGGCGGTTCATACGCCTCCCTACTGGGTTACCTACCCGGATGAGTCGACTGCTGTGTTGATTGGCAGTACGACACGTCCCTCCCACAATACCACCTGAGGTGATCAGAACAAGAAACAGGACTCATAGCCCAGTTCACTTAGGTAGGCCGCACTCCGCCGCCCGCTAGACGCGCACACAACAACCCACAATTGCCGCCATGTAGGTCCGTTTCTGGCCTAGCTAAGACGGTAGCACGAAACAGGTAGGCGAGGGCTGACAACATTGATTCCCCACTTAACACCCATGACATCGACCTGGACCTCTGGCCCACAACCCAATATGGATCCTAGTAAATGGACACACCTGATCTCAATACAAACTCGAACCTCAGCCTTAGAAAGTGTACACGTCTTAGCTGCATTAATGAATACTGTATGAACTGTATAACACTGACAAAACCTATTGATAGGTATCATTTGTCTGTCCGAATATGTACTTGTACCTGTGATGTCAATTGCCACCCCAGATGCAAATGTTTTTGCATGCACTCCCCCCTTTCTATTTCTGTACCCCTACTCTACGATGGTAAATACTTTTGAAAAACAATAAAATCTACAAAAAAAAAAATACACATAACAAACAGATAGTTATGAATAGATTTTGAGTTATAAATTGATGTAATAAGACAACACAAATCTTAATGCACAACCTGGGGAAAGTGTTCTTAATAATTATAGGTTCATTATTCCTCCTATTGTAATGGTTTAATAATTTCATTCATGCAAGTTGTTTGTCAATTAGATATACACACTTGAGTTTTATGCTTGTTGCAACAGCATTGACATACCTCTCCGAAATAAAGTGTTACCACAAATTATACTTAAATGGTTAAGAGTGAGACCTGGCCCCTGGCACAATATAATCGTTTACTTTACTCACAGACAGCGGGCAATTTCAATTCCAGATTCCAGATTCCCCCTGATGTATAAACCAGCTATAGGGATACTTGCAATATAGATTTTTCTATGGATATGTCAGAAAGTATTACAGCTCAAAGACAGAAAAAGCACAGCACACGTTGAAAGGATCACTGGAGATATATTTTCCTGGTAACACAATTTAAAGGGGTAGCAATGCCACATGGTGCTTTTTTGAAGCATGGCTATCTAATCTTAAAGAGTGAGTTTAACGCAGACACTTCTGCTTAATAAAGTCAACTAAACAAACATACAAGAGCATCTGTGTTTAAACAAAATACATAAATAAAACAGAAAAGTGCTAATGTGTCTATGTTTTACATCATAAGTGCTTCCTGTTTAAATGTTTTATATGTATATATAAATTGCAAATAAATATGACACAACACATAACTACCACAAAATCTGGGATTCCTAGATACTAGACCGCCAGCCTAGTGCTTAAGGTGGAGGCCGAGGGCAAACGATCGCCCACAGGAAACCACCCCAATGCCAACCACCCCATAACGTAACAACCCTTCTGCTTTCCACTACCTCCCACCTCATAAACCCTTCTCCCACACCAAACATCCCCTCCCCCCCACCCAAACCACACAGCTACCAATCCCACCTTAATACAGAAACCTCAACCACCACGCCCACAGCCAACAAGAGGAACATCGGAGGGATGTCAACCTCCGACAGGACAAGAACAACGAAACCCAACACCCACACCAAGCACAAAGCGACCCATAGGTGACCACAAAATGCCGCCCACACAGCTTGATGGGAGTAACTGCCCCGGGATCAATCAGGACCCCCACCCAACTAAGATAACACTGTCACAGGGTAACCAAAGTAGAGTGCACCAACCCCACTCTGACTTCCCCAACCTTCAGCTGACACAGCTGACACATAATGTTCCAATACCCCGACACCTTCATAAACACGACTCGTACACAACAATGGTTCACACAACCTATGGAGTATCATCTCCACCTTCAGATAAAACGAGGCACACACCAAAGACCTCACGGGGAATTTACATACCAAAATGAAATTCTAATACATAGTAATATAGCACAAATGATGACAGGGTAACAACAGACATAATGCACTAGATGTCAATTTCTTCATTGAGTTTAATGTAAAATGCACCCCCTCCCTATTCTTCATTCTGTATCCCATAACAAACATTGATAAACCTGAAAAATAAAGAATAGAAAAGTAAATCAGATCAAATGACGACAGTTTTTTCCTGAATCTTTACAATAGATCCCACTTCTTATCTGAAGAGATATTACACAGTCTGGTCATAGGTAGACCAAGATAACGAGAAGTAATAAATACAACCCTCCCTCCCCCCAAAAAAAGAATTTGATTCACTAACAGTCACACCATTAGATCCAAGAATTATTGCTCCAAGGTAAAAATTGTTGTTCCATTGTCGAGAAAGACAAGATCAGGTTCCAGCCACCTCACTTTACTCGTTTCGTGTTGCACAAAACACTTAATCATACGTTCATCTCTGCGCAACATGAAACACGTAGAGTTAGGTGGCTGTAACCTGATCGTTTACATTGGGGCAAATAATTTAATGGTGGTCTGTTTGTGCATCCATGTCTTTTTAAAATTCGGATATTGTCCCCAGTTGGGCCCCAGCGGTTCTAGTGACTAGTTCTACCAAGCCAATATGAATTGTTTCACCACTTGGAGCTCCCAGTTGAATAGTGTAAGGATAAGTAGCACACGCAAAATGTTAACGTTAATTTAAATAAACTATACAAACTAAATATTAAAAAATTAAAAAAAACACAAACTTTATCTCCTTATCACAAACTCACAACACGCTTCATATAAACATCAGTCTCAGATTATAAAAGTCCAACTTTATTTGTTCTGGTGAAACCTACAACTTTTCCTGATGATTAATTTAAAACTAAAAAACAGTGACAGTTATTCTTAGAATACATATAGAATGGTAAAAAATTACTAGGACTCTTTAGATAGGTATATCTGGATCCTCGTCTCGTTTTACTAACTAAAGATAAGTTCTAAAAGTAAATGATAATGACATATTATAACTAAAATACACACATTTATTTTTAAAGGATCAAAGGTAATTTGTATGTTTTGGGAAAGCTTATAAACCCTAACTTATTGTGCAGTTCTTTATTAACCAGAATTACATAGTTAGGGAAACTCGTTCGCACTTTGTATTCGGTAAATGTTATCCTTCTTTAGCCCGTGAGATGAATCACAGTTTCAATCAATGAGGACTCATCATGACCACTTGGATAAGTTTCTGCACAAACAAAAAAATATTGAATTGACCATCCATCCCATTTCCTGGGGGCCACATATTACTTGAGTGCTCAGCTTAAAACTTTGAAGTTAGTGAGTAATCCCCTAATGATTTTGTAGAAGGGAACGATCCTGAAAGTTTGGAATGAATCAGCTCCTAATAAACTATATCTCATTGGAATATAAGCGTTTTAGGTAATGCAATACTGAGTTGTATTTGGGGCATTAGGAAAGCGAAATGTGAATAAATGTCCACAAAGCTTTAATATAATTCTAAAACTTTTTTATATTAGTCAAACAGGTGAAGGAATTCTTTTAAAGAAACAAAGGAAAATTTTGTAATTTTGCCAAAAATCTCACATCTTTAATCTGTAAAGAAAAGCAAGGAGGAAAAAATAGTGAATAATCTACTAGTGGTATTTCAGAAAATGTAACAAAATAGTTTAGGAGAAACCTTTTGAGGTAATCTCATATATATTTTTATTGACTGTTGTTTTTATGCAATAAAAAGTACAAAAAAAACAGTATTTAAGTAGGCTTAGGTCAGTTGTGTTCTAAATTTCTCTAGATTTTTAAAAATGATTTACCGGTAATTAAAACACTATGTTTTAATATATAGTCTTTTGTAGTGAAATTGATACTTTTTATCTTTTAAATAAATGGCAAGTGTTTTTTTTTAGTTTGTATTTTTTGTAGATCACTTTTTAACTCTCTCCGAGCTGTAAGGGTACGGAACGGGATGAGAGTAGATTGTTGATGTCGCTGGTTATTGTGATGGTATATATATAGTTCCCAAACGTCAGCATGGCGGTATTTTTCTGACAACAAACTATCGCATCCTTTCTAATGTCTGATACTGCCATCTTGTTGGGGGTTTTTTAGGTCATGA